AAGTCAAACTTCTTCCAACCTCCGTGCACACGTGGTTCACTGTCTAGATTCTCCCCGATCTCTGCTGTCTCTGTCTCACTCCTCTTCCTGGAAAACTCTTACTTATCCTCCAAAACCCAACTCAAATGTTCCCCTTCTCCAAAAACCTTCCCTGCTGCTCTGTGGCACATCTGGTTCTTCCCTCTTGTTCCCAATCACCCAGGACATTCTTTTAAAGTGCTCAACCAGAGCATCAGAATGGTTACCCACAAGGGTAACATTCAGTCTCAAGGCTACTGATACTGCGGGCCAGCTAAGTTGTAGTACAGCCCTGTGCACTGTGGGATGCTTGGCAGCATGCCTGGCCCCTACCAACTAGAGAGATATCAGTAGCACAAAGATGTCTTCAGACGTTGCCAAATCTCTCTTAGGGGCTGGGGCTGGGGGCAAAATCTCCTCGCAACCATTGATTTGAATCTTGGACACTGTGGTCATGGGCAGGGTTCAGCAAGACAAGCTTAGTGACTATGTGTGGGAAACATCAAGAACCAAGGATCGGTTCTATCCTCTGATAAACACTTGCTGAGTGTGTTCATCTTGAACCTCAAATCTTAGGTACAGAACAATCTCTACTACAGATCTGATCATATTACTAGTCTGCCTGACCTCTTTATGGTTCTGGTGGTCTCTGCCCCAGGGCCGCCTGACCACCCACTGCTAGAGCCCCCCACACCCTCACACCAGGCTCTGGCCCAAAACTCCACAACCCCTGCAGGGCGCCTCTCGCCCAAGCGCACCTCATCTGTCTGGCAGCACAGCATCTGCGCTCCCTCTCAGGGTCACAGCCCCATCCAGTTCCCAGTGCCGGTTTTCCCCACTAGACTTCGAGATCCCTGAGGATGGGCCCTTGGGCTCTGCGAGAAAGCAGATGCTTGGTAAGTACTTGTAACAGGATTCACTGGGGCTCAGGCATAGGAGGCGGGAGGGGCAGGGCAGCAGGGCGGGGATGGAAAGGAAATGCCTATCCTGGGCCAATTAATAACACTCACAGGACCCCTGCTGTGACTCGACATGTGACAGCCAAAGCACCCAAGAATTACCGGCCCACGAAGCAAGTCGCCACGCAGCTCTGTGGCCTGGTCTGAGCCTCTCTCCTCACTTCTTAAAGATCCGACCCCCAGGTCTCTCCTGCTTCAACCTCATGCATGTGCCGCCTGCTCATCTGTCCAGGTGGTACTCCAACATACCACTCCCTTCGGCCACCTGGGAGCCCGTCACTCCCACCAAGACCACGAGCTCCATGCAGGAGGGGCCTCCCCTGGACGCACAGCAGGGACTCAGGAGGCATGTGCAAATAGACAGAAGGGACAACGTCAATCCTTCTGGAGCCATCAGTCTCTTCATGGACCTCCCCCACTCCATGGTGCGGAGGGGGGGCACGCACAGGTGGTCCTTCTGCACATGGCTGGCAGCGGATCACTCCAGGAGAAACTCAGCACTCAAGTTCAACACCCCTGAACTTCACACTGTACTTTGAAACAGAGCATGGTGAAATCCAACAAATATGTCACTTCCTAGAATTGGATTTTATATACGTTATTTTGTCAAATATATGTTATGTTAGTTCTGGAATCTAGGGATTAGACTGCTTTAAAAGCAAGCTCCAAACCTGCCCTTGTAGCTAATCTGCTGGCTGCTTCTGGCAGCTTTCGAGGGGCCTCTGCTGGGAAGTTCATGTGCCAAAGCTGTTTTTTACAGGGACGTGATGCTGGGCAGTTCAGAATCCTGAGGAGGCTCCTTCACGGTCACTGGGAGTAACTCTTCCCTGTCTCTGCAGAATCCGCAGGGGCAGTGGCAATGCTGGCCCCATGCTAAGAATATACCAGGCTCTCCCCTTCTGGATTATTCTTTTCTAGATGGCCACACCACTGTATGCTTTTAATTCGGACGTGTTGAAAGAAAATAGGTAAGAAACGCTCTTTTCCACAAGCTTCTAAGGTGCCATTATGCTGGGTTCACAAAACAACTTTTAAGTCAACACAGTGAATGACAGCAGTGGCTACGAGTGGGAAGTCAATATGGGTATGGATACCTGTTGGGTTTGAAAGGAGGGGGATGTCACAAAATTTAGCTCCAGCAACTTCAAGCAGGCTGAGATTTCCGGGCAGTAAAACCTTCCATGGCTGCCTATTATCTCTATGACACAGCTTGGCACTCAAGGCCTTTCGACCAACGGATAAACTTATTGAGCACCCATTATGGCCAGGTACTCTCCTGGGTGAGCACACAGCAGTGCATGAAACAGGGGAGGGCAAAGCCCTGCTTTCAAGGAGCTTCCAGTGCAGCCACAGAAGACAGGCAGACGCACACATAGTAGTAGGATGTGGTGGCCTGCCTGCTGGCTCGCTCCGTATTAGCCCTGAGGGGTAGAGAAGGCCAGGATGGGAGTGCTGTTAATTCCTATGTCCTGAGCCAGGTATGTGACATGTTGCAGAAAGAGCATGGAAGCAAGAGTGCCTGGAGCCGAGTGGAAGGGTGGGGGTGTTTTGGGGGTGAGACCGGAGGTGACAGGCTGGATGGGGATGCTATATCAGGCACCGTAAGGCAGAGCAAAGGGGCAAAAGACACCATCTCATATTTTAACGTAACTGGTCTGGCCATGCTCTGAGAGCAGACTGGAGGACAGCCAGCATGGAATCGGGGAGACCAGTCTGGGTTTTCTGTTCTGCAATCCAGACAGGATGGTAGCTTGGAGGAGGGTGGGAAACAGAACAGGGAGAAAAAAATGTCAGATTCTGAAGTTTGAAAGTAGTCACTAGAATCCACTGAAGAATGAACTATGGGAGGGAAGAAAAAGAGGGAAATCCAGTAGAAGTCCCAGGTTTGGGGCCCGAACAGCTGGAGGGAAACCTGAATGTGGTCTGGACAGGCCAAGTAGAAGCCAAGCAGACGTCTGTTGGACACTCCTTGACCTGGTCCCAACCTTTCTTCCGGGCCTCCTCTCCTTCCCGAGCCTGTAACGTAACCAGACCATCTTCCTTCCTATTCCCTGAATGGTCATGAGGGTTCCCCATCTCTTTTCCCCAGGAATGCTGTGTCCCACCAAAAATGGTGTCCATCTTAACTGAGTGCCAATGGTCCCCCAATCCAAAAAAGAGCCCAATGGCCTGATTTACATCCAGAACAGGAACACATTAGCAGCTTCCCATGCTGTCCTGGCCCCACAGAAACTTACAAATAGCTGGGAAAGGAAAGCAGACACACCCTCAAGGGAGAATGCTAAACTCTGGGGCACGGTAAAAATAAAGACCTCTGAAGAATGAGCAGAATGGGTGTCACAAGCTGGGGAATGTTTGCGGGGTGGGGGTGGGGGGTGTTTGTGGACAGCTGTGAACAATTTTCCACTGGAAGCAGCTCTGATGATCAGCCTCCTTCGCCTTGCTCCTTCTCCCTCTGCAGAGCAATGGGCCCCAGGGCTGAAGGATGCTGCAGTTCAAGAACCTCCCATGGCACCAGACACACAGTAGGTATCCCACATGAGGCCTCCCACCTAGAAGTACATGTAGATTGCCACGACACGTCCAGGATTGTTAGGGGCAAACCCAGCGTTCCCCCACCCTGTATCCCTGAGAATGGTTTAGTCCACTTTTATACTCAAAATCTTGGGACCTACCCTGGACATCTCCAGATCATTACCATCTAAGTCCCTGGTGAGGTTTCTCTCAGTTCTGCGTGAGGCCAGATCAGCTTTCTAGGAATCCGTAAGTAGCACAATAGCACCTTCAGTGAACAGTCACACCCGCCCACCCCTTCATTTGAGGTGCCCAGCAATCCGGGGCAGGGCTGAAACTGCCACTTGGGAGCTCGCTCTTTCAGCAGAGGAACGACAGTGACTGGGTGGCTTACCCAGAGACGAGGGGAGAGCCAGCAGCACCTCAGACCATGCAGAGTCCTCTCCTTTTACAGGCAATAAAAGCGAGGCCCACAGAGTCCCTTTACTCCCTCAGCCAGTTGTGAGGTCCCCGAGGGCAAGTGCATCTGATCAGCAACAATCCCAACCCACTAGGGGTAATCACTCGCAACAGATGTGAATCTAAGCTGACAGCCCTTGGGAACATGACCAATCAAAATCATCCACCTACATACTGTGCACAAGGCCCAACCCCAAGCACAGTGCAGGAGAAGAACCCCTCCCCGCCAAATGGTTGTGCTGGCATTTCCACCTTCCCTCCCCCATACCGTAATTCAGGCTGAGGAAGGGAGAAGAAAGATTTCAGTGTACAATCCCAGCAGTGGGGAGACCAACAAGCAGACTGGGTCATTTCAGTAATTACAGAGGAGTAACAGGAATTTGCGAGGATTTCCCACGAAACTGGCTCAAGAAGCATTCTCAGCCTGGGTCCAGGATGTCAGTCTAAACGATTCATGGGGATAAACTGGTTCCTGATTTTGCACTGGGGCTCACACCAGGCTGGAGTGCAGAGGCCTGAGCAGGAGTCCTGGCTCCGCCACACTGAGACCCTGGGTGTTAATAATGATCATACCTAAGTGCCATTTACCAAGTGCTGGGTGTGGGCCAGGCATGCTGGGCTGTAGGGACGCATCATCTCATTCAGCGGCACAGGCAGTCAGGGGAAGTGGGGGGAGGGAGCCTCATCTCACCACCACCTCCATTCTACCAGATGAGGACACTGGGATTCAGAGGCCCAAGTCACCAACCGCCCCAAGGTCAAGCAGCCGCTGACCGGGTGTGTCTGATCCCCCTAATCCAGAGCCCTCACTAATCCAAGCCTCAGTTTCCCCGGGGGGGAGAGAGAGAAGAGAGCCTAGGAAAGCTCAAAACAGTCTTCTAGGCTTCCGAGGTGTGGTCCCAAGGCTGAGGGGGCGTGGCGTCCTCACCCTCCCCAGGCCGCTGGGCGGGAGAAGAGGGGGGTAGGGGGAAGGAGAAACCTGGGAGTAGCACCCAGGGTCTGAACCCGCGCCCGGCGGCGGGGGGTGGAAGGTGGGAAGGGAGTACTCACGTCGATGTTCCTCAGGATGACGCACTTCCCATTGGTGTAAAGAAAATTGTTGCCCTTGGGGTCGCCGCCGATGATTTTGGAGACGCCCCTCTCCACCTGGGGGAGGCTGGCAAACACCTTCTCTGCAGAGACACAAACCGAGCAGGGCGCGCGTTAGGGGCAGCCGCCACCTCGGCCCCCGGCCGGGCTGAGGACTGGGGACCGGGAGCGGACGAGAGCGGGGCCCTGGACCGGTCTCAGCCGGTCACCTGTTGCCTCCACCGGGAGGGGCGGCCGCCACTTCGAAGGAGCGCGGGGGACCGCGCGACTTCCCGGTCCGCGCTCCCGACCAGGCCCTTCAGGGACGCGGGGGCTCCCACGGGCCCAGCCCGCAGCACCAACTTGCGGGCACCCCCCGGCCGGGGATCGCCGCCGGGCGCCCCGAGGGCGGCGGGGCGTTCGCCGGCCCGCGCCCTACCCCCCTCCCCCGCGGCCGGGGACCCCGCCGGGCCGCCCGCGCCCCGCCGATGGCCGAGGGGGCCCGGCGGCGTGGGAGCCCCCCCGGGGGCACCGGGCCGCGGCACTTACTGATCTCGTACGGCATCGTCGCCCACTTGTTACCGCGCCGCACTCGCCGAGAGCCTCCGGAGCCGCCCGCGCCGCGAAGCAGACTGGCCGAGGCCGCGCCGGGGACAGGGGGCCGAAAGGCGGCGCCGGGCGTGCCGGGCGCGGAGGGGGCGGTCCGAGGCCGGGGCTCAGAGGCCGGCTCGCGCCCTGCCCTGCGCGCTGCCGCTGCGGACGCGCCGAACCCGGAAGCGCGGCCCCGCGCGCGGCTCGCCCCCAGCTTTGACCATATATAGTCAAGCGCTCGGCTCGGCGGCTGCAGCCCGCGTGAGCCTGCGCGGACCGGGCCGCCCCTCCCCCCGCGCGGGCCCCGCCCGGACGCCCCGCCCCGGAAGTGACGTTGCCCACGGCCCCGTAAAAAATGTGGCTCGGGGGCAGGCTCGGCGCCAGACGGGTTCTGGCCGCGGGTTGAGGGCTGGTGCTGCGTTCGCGGAGGGAAGGGCGGGCGGGCGGGCGGGCTGCTGGGGCCACTCCAGGCTGAAGGTCGGGGGCCGCAGAACGCGCCAGCTCGCTGTAGTGGGGGGAGCCGGGGAAGCCTTCTTGGAGCCTGCGTTTGCGCCGCGGGCGTTCCCGGGCCGCTAGCCTTCCGGCTGAGTCGGCGCCCGCTCGGGGATCGCAGAGTGCTTTTTCTTTTATTAAAAATACTCCTGAATAGGAGTCGCCCTTCCTCCAAAGCAGCCGCAGACAGAAATTTCAGGGCTATGCCTCGCTGGGCCCGAGCTCTTTCTCTCAAAACTTCCTTTAGAAAGCTACGAAGCCAAGGAGAGTAAAGGGAATATAGGTGCTAGGAAAACCAGGGTTTATGAATCAGGGAGGCGGGGGGAAAGGGGGAACTTCTACTCTGAAGGTGAAGGCAGCGTTAAAATGGGGGAAGCAAGGGCTCGGAGATGTTGCTTTAAGCCTCCCTTTTCTGTAGGGGGACGCGCTTTGAGTGGGGGGCTAAGTGAGAATATGTAAAGCACCTGTGGGTACTGAAGCCTGAGCTGGAGAACCTTGAAGCGCGATCCTTGCCTTTCTATTTCTCTAATCTGCTGGGAAGGCCTCTTGGCTCTGTTTTCCAAACCTCTCCAGGTTGATCATTTCTTGCCTCCTTGGCTGTTAGTCCCACAGAACTAAGCCCCGAAGGCTCACCTGGGTTATCGCAGGTGTTTGCTATCCAGTCTTAATGCTCCCGCCTTCCCCCACCTTCACCTCAGTCTGTTCTTCAGGTTGCAGCCTGTGTGTTCTATGAACTGAATCCTATTTTTCACCTTAAAGTCTGTAGGAACTCCAAGGCTCCAAGCCAAAGCCTTTAAGGTGGCTGATTGGACCCTAGGTGACAAGTCTGAGTTAGGAGAGACTCCATCTACTGTCCTCAGCTGTACCTTCCTTTCTCTTGCACACTGTCCGTCTTGTCCCAGGAATGCCCCAGGCATATGCCTGCCCCAGGGCCTTGGCAACTTGTTCTCCACCTCGAATTACTCCTCTCCAGAAGAACCTAGTTGCTCCCGTGTTACCTGCTCAATGAAGATCCCCTTCCTTGACCACCTTATTTTAAATCCCAAGCTTCTAGCCCTTAGAACATATTCCTGATACTACCTTCCCTGTGACTTTTGTTCAAATGGGTGACCCCCCACACCCCACATGTGATCTTTGATCAAGAAACAATGGCTGTGAAGGTAGTTCTATGGTGATTCTGTGGTAGTTCTATGGTGAAGGTACCAAATGGTGATTCCTGAAACAAGTGGTGGCTCTAACCTGAGAAACCAGGATTTAATTATCAGCCCCTAATGAGACTTGGGTTCAGAAGAGGTGGATTTAAGTTCACCCCTAGGATATTTATGTAACCTAAGGACCTACGTGCAAGTAAAACTAAGGCACCAACCCCAAACTCTTGCAAGCTGGTAATCTTAACACCTGTACAAAGCCTTGTTGGAGTTGACGCTGCTTGACGAGCTAAAACTCCAGTAAAACGTTCTCAAAACCCTGGCAGGAGGTTTTGCTGCTAGCTTAGGTAGTCCTGTTGATCTGGAGGCTTGAAGGGGATGGGGGGTGGGGATGCTCCCCCTAGCTTAAAAAGAACTGTCTACAGACAACAAGATTAAGCTGGAAGTTACCGAGGTTGAAAGGGAAGAGGGACACCAGGGCATTCTTCCTCTGGCTGGTCTCTGGGACGGTGTGCTTGGTGGTCTCAGCGGTAAAGGCTCAGTAACACCTGAGTGGTATCAGCTGTGGCTAGCTGTGGTCCCAGCGCTTTTTTCCTTGGGTCCTCCTTACATACACCTTTGTTAATACAACCTAACAGCCTGCCTTCAGCCTCCAGGAGGGACCCTGAATGTCAGTATCCTGGAGGCTCCTTCTCTGCGTGTTGGTCCAGCTACTTCTCCAGCACCTCACCTGTCACCACCTGCCTCCCCAGCATCTCTGTAGGACAGTCCCCAAGGCACTTAGACCAAACCAGCCTAAGACCAAACACCACCCCCGCTCCCTCCTGCCACAGGGCTGTTTCTCTGAAGCCTCCCTTCCCACAGTGACCCCTGTCTTTCTGGCTACCCAGCCCTGTCTTCACCCCCACATTCAACCCTTCACCAAATCTGGTTCCTTGAATGCCGGCGTTTCTCAAATCTATCCCTTCATCTCCCTAACACGGCCAGGCTCCGAGCTTCCTCGCCTTACATGGGCTCCTTTAGCCACTTCCTAGCTGCTGTGTCCACTCAGAGCCAGAGTAACCTGCTGGGTTTGGCCAGCAAACCCTGAGGTGGTGAATGAAAAGATTACTCCAGACACCTAAATAGGAGAAAGAAGGTTGAAGGGACCAGACGCTCTAGTGGTGAAAAGATCCTGAGCCAGACTCAGTCTCTGCTTTTATTGCACGTCTTAATACATCAAGAGCAGAAAAATAGAAAGGAATGTTGGGCTTTAATAATCAAGACCAGGAGCACCTGGGTGGCTGTCAGTTAAGCATCTACCTTTGGCTCAGGTCATGATCCCAGGGTCCTGAGATCGAGTCCCACATGGGGCTCCCTGCTCAGCAGGAAGTCTGCTTCTCCCTCTGCCTGCCACTCCCCCTGCTTGTGCTCTGCCTGTCTGATAAATAAATGAAATCTTAAATAATCAAGACCTAAACCTATGGGGCAATGCATGGTGGAAGCAAGTGGTGTCTGATGTGCATGCGGGCTAAAGGTATGGTGAATACGTGACCATAAGGTGAGAGTGTTTTTCATCTAAGCTAAACGTTTACTCTCTAGGTGAGAGCGTTGAGCTGCAGTAAGGATCTGGCTGTTTTCAGCTCAAACTTCAAAAGAGACCCAGCGTTCCAGGTACTCCTCCTTTGCTTTTCAGTTGGTCTCACCTCCGAACTATTTCACTTAATCTTTCCAGGCACTATGAATCCTCACAGTAACCTCAAACCTTGTCAGCAGCCCCCACATCTTCTATCTCAAGATGTAGGCCCGGGGAGGATGTTGGTCTCAAAGGCCCTGCAGGGACCCAGCCCCAGCCTAGCTCTCCAGTAGCTCTGTGCCTGGGTCTCTTCGGGTCACGGGGGCCACCCCAAGGGCCTTTCAGCTCTGCCACTCTGCACAGCGCCTGCCTGGGGCTACTGCGCCTGCGGTTTCTGAGCCTTTCCTGTACACCCCAGTTTAAGGCCAGTCTGTTCCACTGAACTCTCAAACCAAGGCCAAATCGATTCCTCTGCTTCCTGGATTAACTTGCTTCCCCACCCCCACTGGAGAACAGGGGCCACCTGAAAACGGGCCACATGTTTTTCGAATATTTAGCCAAGGGCCCACCAGACTGCCCTAGAGGGAATGAGCAATAAGAGCATCACCTGAATTTGCATTTAGTTCCAAAGCAATTAGTGTCTTAAAAACCTACTTAAGTAATTCCTTAAATCTCAAACTCCTAGGCTGGCTTTGGGTAATCTGGTTGCAGTTACTTGGGTAACCCCGACAAAACCCTTAGATCGGCTTCCAGGTGTCAAGTACGAGGCCTTGATGCTTCGTTTCGGGTCAGTTCTGCTGGATACTTCGTGGTGAAAATGAGGGCTCAGGATGCGTGGCTCTACAGGAATCCACCACCTGAGCATGCTTAGCCTGGGAGCCCTGGTTTCCTCTTCCGTAAACTGGGATCCCACAGGAGACCTGGGCTTTGTCAAATGAGTAAATATCTAAAACCTGTAACCAGCACTACAAGATTTTTTCAAATTCCTGCAAGCTACAGGAACTTTGTAAATACTTTTCCATTTGAGGTGATCTACAGTAGATGTACCTCTAGGAGAACTTCGTATTCCTGCATAGCTTCAGACTGATCTTAACATAGTTCAGGGAATATATCCTAGTCATTCCAGTTACTGACCTTAGTTCTTTATAAGCCATGCTTTCATAGACCACTAAACCTCCCCTAGCTGATCTTCCTAAGGTCCGGGTGAGGGTCAACTAGCTGGAGCCAGCAAACCTGGCGTGAGACTTGGACCGGCACGACTTCACTCCTTCAGCATGGAGCTGCGAAGGTTCTGGGCCAGTCCCGCTGCTTCCTTGTCTCTATTCCTTGCGCTAAGAACTCCTGTGACTTGTACAATGAACACAGCCAGTTTTTGCTTCTCTCTGCTGCCTGATACTCGCCACTTTGGCTGAAATGGTGCCCTGAGGGCAGATGGAGTCCTGTCCTCAACTCTGCCTCCCTGAAGGGCTTTCAACAACAGCAGACTTTCCTAGCCTTGTATTTGGGAGCACTTCCCTTGAGCCGGGTGCTGGCTTGCATGTTCTTTGGCTCAAAAGTTAGGACTTGCCCAAATTTCCAAGCAAAGGGCTACAGCCAGGATTAAAGCTTGGGTCGGCTTTCTCCAAAGCCCAGCTGTTTTCTCTTTTAAGAAAAAGGAGTGAACCAGAGGTACCTGGGTGGCTCAGTTAAGCGTCTGACTCTTGATTTTTGGCTCAGGTCATGATCTCAAGGTCGTGAGATGTGAGCCCTGCATAGGGCTCCAAGCTCACTTGCATGGAGTCTGTCCCTCTCTCCCCTGCTTCCCATCTCCACCCCCCCCCCAATGTCTTTTAAAGAACCAGATCAACACTTGTGAACCTCTGTTCTTGAACAGGCAACTTTATTTCATTCCAGCCAATGGTAGAATCCAGTAGCTCTTGTCAA